ATCAATTAATTTTAATTAGGCTAACAAATCAATCTTGAACTAATGTACTTCCCAATGGAATTAACGCTAAAAGGATTAGTTAAATATTTTTCCTATTATCAATAAAAGAATTAGAAGTCTTGGACTTTATTCCTCAAACAACCTGAGTTTAAATAAATAATTAAAATACCTTCATCCAGAATAATTTCTAATCTATCCTAACTTTGATACCTGTCATTTGCACAAATTAATATCATCTAATAATAATAATAAAAAAAATAATAATTGAATTATCCCACTTGCCATTTTTATAATCTACGTTCTCTGAATCCAAATTTATTGACCAACTCCATTACTGATCATCTAAGTATTACCTACTCGCTCTCCTCTGCCATCAGCTGTAGCTTCATTTTCCAGCTCGTGACTCAGGGTCATCACTCGGTGTCCCTTCGCCTGTCAGCCGTTTATTTACAACGTGTTACGTCGTTCCCATTCTTCTGTTACGTGTATCGCGATAAGTAGCAACGGAGTCCATGTTTCCAGCTCTCAGATGCTGTTTGCCGAGGAGGCATCGACGATAACGCGACATCACTGCGGCCGCTTCTCCTCAGGGACCGGCCTTGGCAAACAAACCACCTCGCCCTTGGCCAGGGTGCAAGCTTATCCTCGTATGGCCATTCGTGGCTCTTTACACGTGTTCTCCGGTCAGCCGATCAAATATGTAACCGATCTGTTTGCGCGGTCGTAGATTAAGAAACTATTTCGTCGCGGTTTATTTAAGGGCCAGCTTTATCTGCGAATTCGACAGAATTACACGGCTCGACGACGGAGAGGCGAAAGAGGAACGCTGCCAAATAGCCTGCAGACATTCCGCACGATAAGTGTTATCAGCCGTTGCATCGATTAACTCGGTGTAAATATCGCGTCGCGTAGAATGTCGAGGGAAGGTGAATCATTGCAACGGAAGCAACGGGTAATTAATCGTGCAACCATGATCTTGGAAAATATGGATCGATCCCGAGCTTATCGATCGCACATTGGACATTATGCTCGCGATTCTCCCGTCATCCGAGAGTATTATATAAAGTATTCTCTTCTTGGAGAAAACTCGAAGTGCTCCAAATTTAATGGTAAAAAGAAGTAAAAAGGATTTAAACAGGTTTCAACACTCGAATTATCGGTGTTTAAGGATAGTTAGCCCTTTATACTCTAGTAACGCTACTATGTGTGTATTTAATACTAAACGAACTGGTACTTTACACACACCTAGTCTTACCATAAGAGATCAAATGACCCCTCGTGGTACATAAGGTGTGCAAAGAATTTTTCTTGCTAAAAAATAAGTTAAAAAAAAAAATGGAAAGCGAGAATTTACAAAAAGTCAGATGAATGATAGAAATAACAATGAACGTACAATTTATACAGTAAATTTTGAAAGGGGTCACTTGACAATGCTTAGTACGTTTAGTGTTAAAAAATCCATGTTAAATATAAGAATAATTGATAGATTTAATTATTAAATTTATATTGCTATTAAATTAGTCGATAAGTAACATAGAATTTCCATGGTGGAATGTGCTCTTTTATTTTCTGGAACGAAGAAACGTTCATATTTTATCAAATATTGGGTTGGCCAGGAGATAATGCCGCCATTTTGAAACACAAGAGGTTTCCCTAAATGATATATTAACCATTTTGATCCTTAATATACAATTTCAAACAGATAGAAATTATTTACTAGTTGATCTCATATTATCACATAGTAATCGGAATTATTTATTATAGATTACATAATAAAGTTTTCTTTATTTCAAACGAAGCGGGTACCATTTTATATTATACCGAAAATATCAACCTTATTTTGCAACCAACCTAATATAAATTAAATTGCTAGTAAAAATGTAAAAGAAATTTCAGAAAATTATATTTTCCGAAAACCTTTGGTTGTTCAGGGTGTTCTAAATACATCCCCTGAAGAACTGCAATGTATTCATCTTCCTTCGTACCTCGTTCAAGGTATTCATTTCGCGACAATGTCTCAGCCAGTTGTAAACAAGCGTTGTAAACGACCAGCGCCATATTGCAACACGGCCAAACGAAAAACGCTGGTTGGCGCAGAAAGTTATCGTCTGCGTACTCTTTTTATTCAGAGATTCTCTCGATTCACTCGTGCAAGTCGTTCCATCTTGCATTTAGATTTATTTCGCATCAGAGAATTTTAAATATCGCATGGTCACCCGTATACTTCTCAAAGAGTCCTCCGTTCCAACATTTTACGCTGCTTCTCGCGGCTAGCATAAATATTTGTTGCTGTAGCGATTCGTTACGATCTCTGGACTTGATTTTCTTTTGAAAACACGAGAACCAAACGAACATTTTGTTCAAACGTACGCAATTTTCAAAGAGCAAAAGTCTTTAATCCGACGTTAATACGAGTAGAATTCATACAAATTGCATAAACCTTTGGAATTTCGTTAAAATAACATAAATAGATACATAATGACCAATTAAAATTAAATGCTTCCTGATGCACAGTTTCTTCGAATTAAATTCCAGTAAAAGTGTTAATTCGTCACCGAAAAATGATTATCCGCCGTGCAAGATGAGCCAACTTAATCCCTTGCACTCGTAGGGTAGGAGTTCAAAGATTTTCTACTATAAAGCTGAGAGATATTTTTTCCAGCAGTAAATAAGAAATTGTATAATAATTAACACGTAGAATTGTTTGGTTTAGATACCTCGCACGCCGTTACGTTATCTTAAATTTGATATATTAATGAATATCCATCTTTGTAATTTGAACAAATGGCGACTGAAGGGCAGCTCACGAGTGCAAAGTTTATTTTTCATCCTAATTATGATGGCGTGGTATCTTCCAATATTTCTGTTCACGTCCATTGATCATACAGTACAATGAAATGAAAAGCTTCCTATAAATTATTTGCTTATTCATCAAAGAATATCCAGTCTTCAACCTCTAAACGACTATTCAAGAACGATTTTACAAAAATTAATCGTAAATTCCCGAATCTTTTTCATTATCCATTTATTTTTTCATGAGAATTTCTATAGCAACTTTTTACGATAAAGAATCTCCCTATAAAAAATTTTCCCATAAAAACAGATATTTTCTTAAGTAACACATGAACCGCAGTGGTAGCAGAATTTTTTCAGGAACGAGGGCTATCTGTGTACCTGTTTCTAACCCTGAAATATACAATAGGCATGGAATATATAATCGGTTAACGATTGCAGTACTAATTACAAAAAACGATGCGAGTATCGACGTACGTGGTTTCTATACGCAAGCAAGATCCTCCATTTTTCTGTCAAACGGCTTGCAGCCACGGATTGCAAACAGTGCCGAGTGTCAACGACGTCGTTTCGACCCGAATCGGGATCGCTATTTGGTACGATAGTTTACGAGCCTGCTATAACGCTCGAAGCAACTATACGAGCGATATCCGTCCTATTTTTACGTTTCAACCCTTCGTGAATAATTTCCATGTTGGTCCATGCTGCGTGGCATCGGGAGACAGCTAACACGCACGTTAGCTCGTGACACGGTTGGCAATATCCTGGAAGAGTGACACGCGCGTCTTCGTGGTCCGCAGGCTGGCTGCGTGGCACTAAATCAGCCCGAGTTACGCGCCGACTAATTGTGAACCGCCTCTCCTCTTGCTTGGCCGCCCCCGTGGAAACCAAATATAACTAAACGGAGCGAAACTAAACGGCCTGGCCGATTAACTTCTCCGTTGGCTGGCTACCACCGACAGCTCACGCTCGCCAGCCCTATTCTCGACTGCTACTCGCTCAGACCGAGGAGACCTCTCTTTTCTCCTCGTTTTTACCCGTGCCAGTTGTTTTTCCCTCGCTTCTTCTCACCCCGCGGCGCTGCAGTCGAGATGCGGATGAATAACGCGGAGAAAAGAACTCTGCCGTGAATTACGCGACGAAACGCCATGTTGCTTGGTCTCATGAGCTATCCTAAGTCCTCACACGCGCGATTGTTCATTCTACGGTTGTCAGTCGAAAATACGAGGTTGTTGCGAGACGAAAGATACGAGTCTTCGAGTCGACGTGGCAGGTTGTTCTTTGATTTTGCAGACCGCGGTCAGACCGTGGTCAAACCGTGCCAATGGGTCCTCGAGTTCCCCGAAGAGAAATTCTTCGAAGAATTGACACTCTTTGGAGTACTGGGTACCGTATGAAACGATTCCCGAGGTTTTATAAGATCCTTAATATTCGCAATATCTCAACGAAATTCTATGAGATTCAGAGTCCTGTGTTGCACGATGTGCATCTCTAAATGCGTGATTTTTTGAGCAAGATTGTGGTTCGTAAACAGAGGAGACTGTTATTCAAAGGAAGAGACATGGTCGATGCTTCTCCTTTTTCTTTTTCTGGGGGGAATAAAGTATCTTCGCGCGAATTATGGCTTTATTTGATGTCGTTGAGGGGTGGGAGAGACATGGCAGGTTGGTCTTTAAGACCTTCGAGGTTAGAATACCTATTGTCGCGCCAGGTCTTTCAAATCCTAAGAGAGTTCTCTTAAAAGAGTAATTCTTTGATTTTCTTTTCTTTTTCTATGACACTTGGAAATATCGACTTATGTGAAATATAAACACATAATTTCTCGTTATGGTCTAAAAACACGAGATTACTACTCGTCAGATAGCAAAGTGTTGCTCGAGACTTTGAGGATTAGGCTGAACAGACTCGTAAAAGAGGAACATTTCTAACCCGTTTCACGACCTTGTATATCCTACTATTAACATTCCACGGCACATACACTCGTTAATCGATCAAATAAACTAAAATAATCTTAAGAATAAAAGAATTCGACAGACCCGTTACCCTGATAACATCTTTCTCGGTTTCTAAGCTCGAAGACACTGCTTTGTCCGAAGATGGTCGCAAGCGGCCCCGCGGGGAGCGGATTAATAACGAAATAAGTTAGTAAATAGTGGAGAATAGAAGAGCTTAAACGATGTTGCAAGAGGGTATGATGCGTTTTGCAGTATGGGCACAGGACGACTTCCCGGACGATTTGGCCGGGGGTTTGGTGAGGATCCATTTGACGGGTCACGGAGCTCACACTCCCGGTGACAGCAACCCCAGTACACCGGGTGCGACACCCACGACACCCTCTGGTGGATTTTCTACCGCACAGACTAGGTCTCGCACGAACACGATACACAGGCTGGATATTCGAAAAGGTAAGCCTCGCCTCTTTACGAGCAACTTTTCTATCGCACCCTTCATCCCTGTTCATTCGTTCCGAACGAACCCTGTTCGACAGTTTGCTTTTTCTTTGCCGTTTAACTACGAGTACGCTTTCACCGTCGACCAGTCGTTCGAACGGTCCTGTTCGGACACTGGGATTCGTCTATCTCTTCAGGATTGTTAGACCTGTGTAGCGTAGAGATTCGATAGAGTGTAAACATTTGTTGGACGATGTCTATGTAGACTGGCTAGTTCGTAGATGTGGGCTAGATCAAGGTTAGAATATGAGAGGAGAAGACTTTGAAACGAAGAGTGTGTGAGAAAGAGAGCCATTTTTCAAAGACTCATAAGGATTGACGATGAATTTATATCTCGTGGTGTCACTGCACCTGTATAGGCATGTATGGGTCAGTTAGTTGAATATTTCGCTGTTTCAGTTTCAATTTTTGCTAGTACAGAGCCTAATTTCTTCTCATGAATTTTCCCCGTGAGACCTCGCGAAAGGAGATCCAAATATCGTTCTGTTAAAAATAATTTTTCAAAGGACAGTTTCACCTGAAGAATCGAGACTTCCAAGATTTAATATTAGACCTGAAAAACATCTAAATACGATTGTCTTAACCAACGTTGAGCTGGAACCTCTGAAAAGAATTGTGTTGCTCCTTTCCACAACTTTGTATGCAGATCTTGCAATACCTTTCAAAAGAAATCCTCATTCATATTCCTTTATACCATTCCCAAGAGCAAAAGGCACTTGGGAATCAATAATACTCTGTCCAAAGCCTTTGACATAGAGTAGGGTTTCTGATATCGAATTTTTGGAAATAATTGCAAATGTTTATATATCGCCTATAAATTATTTTATACAGATAGATAAGATTATAATACAAATATACACGCGTATCTTTTACAAATTCAAACATGTCAAATCGTGAAAAAAAGAAAATAGAGAAAGGAGGCTACACAGAGGCTACTAATATTCAGAGAAGAGCCAAAACGTAAGCCAGAAAAGCTCGAGAAATCCTGGTCTGCGGTAAGAAAAATCCACATAAACTTCATTTGCTATCATCCATTATCAACTGCAGTCGATGAAGGGAAAAGAAGGAAGTTCATGCAACTTCCTCGAAAGAATTCGGTACCAGTGGTGTATCATCCCCAGACCAAGCGAAGGTTCGCGCATCGATCAAGCGAGGTGGCATGAAGATTCCGGGCTAGGTCTCAGGAATTGCGAAATCAAATGATAACAGAGAGTGTCGTTGTCGGGTGCAGCGCGAGAAAGGCGAGGAAAATGCTGGTGTCGTTTGTTTGCAGGTTTGTTCGGCACTTAGCCGGCACTCTCGCAGCCGCCCCAAATCCCCGCAAATTGAAATATCTCCCGGAGTCTTACGGGCCTGGTTAACAACAAACCCCGGGGACGGATCTCACTTCACTCGTTGTAATCCCGAGACGAGGGCGAGGCCTCTCGTGTTCCTTCACGCGAGTCCAGCACGTTCCTCTCCTTCCTTGCCAGAGGACCTCGAGGGATGTTTGTATTCCGGCGTCTTCGAGTAGTCCCCATTTCGGCTAGTTCGATCGATTTTTTCGATTAAAATGTATTTACGTCTCTGAATCTTCCTGTGATTTCATCGCGAATTCGATCGGCAGTGGTTATAATAGAATTTCCTGACGCGCTGTATCAATTTCGAGGGGTGTTTTAGGGTCGCTTGAAAATTCTGTCCTCGTGTTCTTGCGTTTGGTGAATATATTTTAAATTATTACTAGTATTTCGAAATATGGGTTAGAAATGTATTTTCCTCGGAAGTTTCTGAACCTTTCTACCACTCCATGGCGAATCTTCTTTCCATTCGTGATGGTCATGACAGAATTTTGCAACGCGCTAGTTTCCAGATTTTAATTCTATTTTAAATAAAAACTTTATTAATATAATATTTCAATATTCTATACATTATTTCTTGTATTCTGTGTCTATGGACATATGGTTTATGACCATGCTGTGCATCTGAGGTTTTAATAATCAATTAGACCGTTGTTGCTTGGTGCACTTCCTGTCAATATCCACTTCGAAATTAACATTCTATTACTATAAAATCCGCCTAAATTAAGGATTAAATAAAAATATACAGGAAGATAACTGACAACCTAACTACTAATGCAAAAGCTAAAAGCCTAATCAAAAGTTCAATGAAATCCAAGAAGCAACATGTTAACATGAAAGATTTCAATATATGATATGAAAATGATAAACCCGTCATACCTGAAGGAAGCAGGGGTTCCCCGTGGCTCTACACGATGAAAATCCCCTTTGACAAAACTGGGTACAAATATTTCGAGCAATTACATCGTGTTTAACCAATTAACGACGCAAACTGGCCGATAATCGTGCCCTGACAACGTCTACGTTTTATCATCGACATGGCCGGTATATCTAGCACCACGAGAACAGTGAAATCTCGTGCACGACATTACAAGCTTCGGGTAGATTAGAACGATACTGAATAAATTGAAACACGGTGATAAAGAGGTCGAACGTTCTTGGTGACGAGACTTGGTCGGTATCGGTTGCGCGACCTCATGTCGAGCTGCTACCTCTGTAAATAGACACTGCCGTCTTAGTTAGAAGATAGTTAGCGGCATCATCAGACGCAGTGATAGCGGTGCCCTTTGAAAAAGGAGGCAATCGATCACACGGCTGTCAATGCGAGTAAGGGAAGCTGGCGATTTGCTGCTGCGGAGTCAGGGGTGAAATACCCTCACCTGTCACTGTCACGGTCATGACAAACACATTCGTGTTATTCTCGAACTACAGGGTACGGTCTGGCAGAGATTACCGATCGAACGGTCTAATCGATCCATGATCGTCGCTCTGCATTCACCTATGCATTTACGATGGGCTTCCACGCTAAACGTTTTTCATCTTCGATTAGTCTCGCTGAGAAATATCTTGCTAGTCAAATTCAAAATTAATATGAAGAATTAAATATAAAAATTAGAATATATAATTATATATATTCTATTATATAGAATATATAGAATATTTTTAAATATAGGAATAAGAACAATATAGGAAAATTAAATATAAATAAGAATTAAATAATAAGAATACACTTTGAGATATGGAGAATTAAATACATTTTAATAGATTAAATTATATTTAATTCTATGAAGAATTGAATATAAGAATTAGAATATATAATTATACATATATTCTATTACATAGAATATCTAGAATATTATTAAATATCAGAATAAGAAAAATATAGGAAAATTAAATAATAAGAATTGAAAATTAATATAGAATCCACTGTGAAATATGGAGAATTAAATATATTTTAATAAATTAAATTATATTCAATTCTATGAAGAATTAAATATAAGAATTAGAATATATAATTATATATATTCTATTATATAGAATATCTAGAATATTATTAAATATCAGAATAAGAAAAATATGAGAAAATTAAATGTAAATAAGAATTAAATAATAAGAATTCAAAATTAATATAGAATCCACTTTGAAATATGGAGATTAAAACGAGTGTTATTGCTGAAGCTGATTGAATATTTTCTAGAAACTGTGTTTTCTATAAAAATAATGTTTATGAGATAAACATTACTTATAAATATTAATGAAAGAGGAAGAAAGTGTTTATAGAATAATTAAACTTCAATTAAAGTGACGCGATGTGAAATTGTCTCTGCACTACTACAAATCGATGATGATTGTCAAATTATTCTAAATACTTATGTTAGTATTGAAAACCTAGCTTCGTTTTAAATTACTGATGAAAAATATACTATTTGCAAATTATCGTAATACGATAAGATATAAATATGGGAGAAAGATATATGACTAATTAAAAGGTGGCACAATACATATTGGCTATTAAACATATTCATGAATATTCCATATTACTCCTGCAACATATAATACTGCATGCTACATCAGCAAGATAAAATATACTTAGCAATTTCCAACAGTACACTTGCGTGTTATTATTATCTTTACTTCGGAGAAATATCATTATCGAATAAATCAAACATTTTTGATAATTAATAAATATTTCAAAATTAAATTAACACACCGAGTAGAGCCTAATTCACGGTTGCACCTTGAACGATTCGCAAATGTTGCAACGAAAGGTGGCCCGTTGAATGGAATAACATGGTGAATTTTATCAGCGATAAAATTCTTTATCGTCACGCACTAATTTTTATCGCGTGCAGGAATAGATATAACTAATATTTATCGAGTTTCTTTAAGGCATCGCGCACTATGCAGCGTCTATTCGAACATTAGTTTCATAGTAAACGTACACGAAATTAAGTCAGCTCAGCCATAATGAGCTCCACGCAGTTAATTTTTCTATATGAAATTTTAACGAGCATCGTGCAGCCTTCGAAACATTCGAGAAAAATATTTAATTATTCTCATTCTCTTTATACTTAATCACTTAGTCCCCGTGACTGTTACATAGTCACGTTAACACGCTTAAGTGTATACTTAGTTTTATGCATTACGATAACTTATACTATAGTATACACCTCGCGAAAAATATATCACGCCTATTTTCAGTGCTAGTCGTTCTATAAAAATATTTAACCATCTTCACTTGGAAAGCAACATGTATTAACAGTGTAATCACCGTCGTCTGTTTGCGACAATAATAGACCGATAAAATAGAATAAATTCAAGTAACGATCTTCGTTATTTCACATTTCGAAAAATGAAAACGATCATTTCCCTCGACGCAACTCCATTTTATGGAAACGCGAGATTCGATTCTCAGATCGTGAGGATATAAAAGAAAGTTTCGTGAAATAATGTCACCGTTTCCCAGTGAACGTGATATCTTAATACGTTTCAGATGTTGCAACACCAATAGAAGTAAAACACGAATTGGGAGCCGGCGGAGGGGTGGTCTCTCCCAATGGCGTGGTTGGGGTAAACAACGCGGACGATAAGGATGGAAAGAAAAACAAACGACAGAGGCGACAAAGGACGCATTTTACGAGCCATCAACTTCAGGAGCTGGAGTCTTTGTTCTTGAGGAATCGGTATCCGGACATGGCGGCCAGGGAAGAGATAGGTCTGTTCACGAAGCTGCCTGAACCTCGAGTCAGGGTGAGTGACGATTATTTCTAATTATTTATCAGCCTTCACCTCGAGAAAGAACAGAAAATCTGATTTAAATATTTCCACCTTGCATTAAAATCGAACCTCTTCAACTCGGAGACCTAAGATGATATATATAAGATGAATGTTTTCTTTGCTCCTTTCTGCTTTCAAATTTATTTTCACACCAGTTTTTTGTCCCATTTTTACATCCATTCTTTTACTCGTGTATTTGTTTCTCGAATTTGGAATAGATAAATTTCTACTGGTCGAAGGGTTCCTTGAAGAATACTACTAATACACTGCTAATAACTGGTTTCAGAATTTTAGTTCGTGGCAAAATTAATGTCCATTTTTGTCGAGATAAAAATATTCTTTTCGTCTTATTTTAATTGTCATAAATATGTGCTATAGCTGAGTAAATATTAAAAACTAGCAATTTGTGTAAAATTTTAATACTAAGATACTTGATCGATACTTGACTTCTCATATCTAAAATAAATTTCTACTTTCCATTTCGTGCAGTCAGCCAATGTAGCAAACGAGTGATTTAAATTATTAAAAAATATTACCAAGAAATACCTAGTTAAATATATACTAACAAATCGACGCCGAAGTATCGATTATTATTGTACCGAAATTTGATGTAATGACTAACCGAGTTATATACTTATGCAAAAATTGGAAAAAAAAATTGAAATTGAACGTATGCATAGGCCAATGAGTCAGCGCACCTAATTATTTTCTATAGCGATTAATTATTTTCGACCGACGCCGCACAATCGTGCAGATAATCTACGTTTTCTGACGAATTTTTCGTTATTGTCAAAAGTTAACGCATCGCTATCGGCGTTTTCTCGCGTTATCGCGAGTCGAGCCAACGTTTATCGATCATGCGTCCGATTTCGAACAAACAAAATTCCGGTGAAACGGAAATTCGTCTATCTGCATCGACCCCGATGCATCTTTCTTCTTATAATGAACGAGTTTGGTCGTCACGTTCACGAAAGCCCGTGCACGAATACGAATCACGGTGACTCGAAATCGAGTTGATCAAAGTAGTAAGAGAATCCTACAATGGACGCATTGATGCGTTGAAGTATCGATTACAAAGGCAACAATTCATGCTCTTTCTGACTGATACCTCGAGGTCTGCAGACATGGCTCGTGACCGGAAAAATGCCATTTCCTTGCCCATCGAACTTGATATTTTCGAGAAACAGGCGGTTTCTGGACGTTTTTGATGAGAAAAGTTCGAGGAGAAGGATCCGAAATCGTTGCTGGGGAAATATCGTTGTAATATTACGTCAACAGAGGAAAATGTTCCTTTACGAGAAAGATAATAAGCGTATTGTATCATTGAAAACTCTTCAACAAGCCCTGATTTATAGTAATGACAATACTATTCGCAGAAAGTTATTCATAATTGTATTTTCTGAATATCAGCTTCTTAAATGGGAACATAAGCCTTTGTTCTTAATCACTTCGTGTACCTACTCCAAGATACAGTTTCTTAATTAAATTCAATGACATCGACAAGAAAGATCGACGAAAAGCATTTAAGATCGTTACCTTCCTTAACAATTTGTCAGCAGGAGAAAATGTTTTGCGAAATGACAATATGTATTATATTATTTACTTAAAAATTTCTAACAAGCTACACTTATAATTGGATATCATATCATTAACCATTTGTTCCCAATCATTTCGTATATTCCAAAATACAATTTCTTAAATAAATTCAATAACGTTGAAAAGAAAATTGGACAAATAAATTTAAGGTTTTTAATGAGGGAATATTATATTTCAATTAATATTACAACAACAGAGAAAGATATTTCTTTGTAAAGAAATAATACATTTAGAAATTCCTAATCACCTTCTAATATGAATTACTAAAAATTTCAATATGGGGAACAGTAAACATACTAAATTCTATTTTTAAATTCTATTCAACAAATATCAACTTCCTAAATTACAATTTCGTAATGAAATTCGATAACTGCGATGTATAGCATAAAAGTAAACATATTACACCACGGTGGTTCGAAATACCCAAAAAAGACGTTTTTCAGGTAACTAACCAAATAATAATCGAATAAAAATTCGTTGCAAACGATGAGAAGAATCCTCAACAAGTCTTTCATATTCTACAGCACATCATCGTTTATGCCAAAGGGAAGAAGTCAAAAAATGTTCAAAAAATCGTGGAGAGAGGAATAACACGGGCGCAAAGAATAATAAACGTTTGGATATCGTAAACGGCGAATAAATTCATCACGAGTCGTTTCGCGGTGATACACGAGCAAACGGGACGAATCCATGGTTGGTCCCTCAGTTTGAGTTGGATCAGGCCGACCGGACATGCTTCTCGACTTGACAATCCTCGCGGTTTCGTGCGTTTCAGCAAGGCCTTTAGGAACGGTCATATCGGTAGATGAGAGCTCGGACGAGAAACGTAGGGATCGGACCGGAAGAGGAACGGGGATGGAAGTGGGCAGGTATGAGGTCACGTGGGGTTGCGCAGCTCACAAGGGAAGCTTTGCGCCGGTAAGCCCTTCTGGATTTATAGAACCACACAGAGCATGGGACGGCATTCCCGCCACGCTGCTATACGCCATGTACCAAAATGCTGCGGAGCCCAACTATCGTGGGATGCATTCGCCAATTTTTAACGTTTTCATCGTCACGTATTTTGCTTTCTTTCGTTCCGATTTTTATACACGACGACAATACATTGCCCAATATGCAGGAAAAGATATGAAAAATAAAGAAACAAAGAACGCTGGCAAGTCTAAGTATTGTCGAGATTTAACCACAGATTTATAATAATTAATAAATATTCAATCTTCGATTTATTATTTTAGTAGTTACACATCTGTAGTGCCTCACAAAATTGATGCCACCGTGGAATAGATTTTTAATAATTTTAATAACGAATCGTAATGCTTAAGGGGTTAAGCAACGAATGAGGTTAGAAAGTATATATGCATTCAATAGTAATCATAAATTAGTTCGATAAGCAAGAAGGTTACCCTGTTTTCATTTGTTCATTAAATTTACAATCTTATTCTTTAATAGCATCACCATTCCGTTATCTTTTTTAAATAATTATTATTAACTTTGCCCTACGATATAGGTTCCAATGGCACGTGCTATAATCAACAGCAAAATCAGTCACACACCGAGTCATTTCGTGCGAACACAGCGAAGAATAACACGTAACCGAAACAGAAAAACATTGGTGAAAATTAACAACGAACCTGACCTGTGATGTTTACATTGAGCCCTAACTACAAACCACGCCTTTTGATGCTCATGTTTGGCCTCATTTCCTTAACACGAGTCTCACACGTTATTGTAGGCGAAGGTATTAACCTCACACTCACAACGATATTAAAAAGCAATAATTAAATATAATATCCCATCTCCATAAAATTCTCCTTAAAAACGACTGTCGATATCAATATACTTTTTGATATACGTTTGTACATATAAGCTATACTAAGGAAGACGAAATGTATGTCACATAACCAAACAAATGACGCCTCTCCACACGTTCATTCGCATTTCAAAGAGCTACATTATTTATAGGGTTATATAATAATTTACTCACACTTACCAACAGCTGAGTTCACGCTACCGGTCACCGTGTCCACTGGATCCCTTGACTACCACCAAAACGAAAACTTTATCACGAGTCACGAGTCGCAAAGCACCGTCCATGTTCCCGTCACTTCGCCCTGGAACGCCGAGCGAAATCGCGTCTACGGTACGAAACCGCGATGGCTGTCCTATCCGTTCGACCGTGAGTTCGCGCCGTGTCGTCCTTCCCTCGAAACTTCTGTGTGACACGTACCTCCGAATGGCAGAATTTACGCGAATTCGATTCCGGCGCATTTAGTCAATTCTAGCCGCGGCATTACGCTTAATTAATCCCGACGCAACATTTAATGCTCGCCGATAAATGCGCGAAAGCTTATCTATTTTGTCCACGGATTTGCTGGTATTTCGAACGATATCCGAATGGCGGTTCACGACCTGGGATACGAATCGAGTGTACGGACCGATTCGATTCGATTCGATACAATTCATTGGAAACGAACGTTATGCGGTAAGAAAAATCGTCCACCAATAACGTCTCGCCTATTCATCTTCCCTGAGTGCACCATCTATGTATCATTTTTATATTTTACGCCTGAGTCTCAACAGATGTCGCGAAGCATCAGTTTGTCGGTAACGCTAGCGTAAGCCAGCCTCTGCAGCGATTCGCGAGAACCAATGAATAAGGAATCTCGCTGGCTCTATTCGTTCGACGGATTCGACTTTCATTGTTCCGTTACCTCGTGAATTTCTCGGTCGAATACGATGGTCTCTTCCGCCAACTATGGATAAATCCAGAAGTTACCCGAAGGAATAGGCTCGAGAAGATGCAGGAGAAAGAAAGAGATACGCAATAGAAGTATGGCGTGCACAGGTACGTGGAGAAAGAACGGGAGAGTAACCGATGGCGAGAGAGGAGAGAAAGCGGGAGAGCCGGGCACAGTTATCTGCAAAGAGGCAGGCGTATGTTTCGGTCGGTGGCAGCAGAGCGCGGCTGTCCGAGATAATCCGCCGGTGATTAAGACCATAAATCCATCGGCGGATTAGTATGGTTGCACCGCACACCGCGTGGCGGCGTCGTTGCACGGGACTCTCTCTATGCTGCAACCTCCACTAGTACTGCGAGCACGCTTCTCTCTCCCTCCTTTACCAAAGTTACACTCCCTCTCGCTTACCACACGATGCATTCTCTGTTTCTATCCCACTCCATAGGCTCCGCATCGTTCTCGCTTCTTTCACCACCCTCGCTCCGTCGCGACGGACACACGTCGTTGATTCGTGTTGGTATACCTGCGGGTGCGACAGAGAGGAATATAGTAGAGCGAGTTAGAGCGAGCGAGAAAACGCACGCGCGTAATGTACAGCGTGGGACGGGGACGGAAGCGAGTAGAACGGAGAAAGAGAGA